CTATGTGCGGGTTATTTGTGTATCGTTCCAGTCACAGTACTGTGCCTTTTTTTGTTATTTATTCTTTATGGAAGGGGATTCCCCTTCCAAACAATTGTAAACTCCTCCATCCTCTGCCCTCCTATCTCACCACTCATCAATAAGTCCTCAATAAAGGTAAGTGTCATTTTATGAATTATTACTGTATTTATTTTTCATGTCTCATTATTTTCTGTGTAGGGAAATGTATATTTCATGTAAAAAAATTATTTTGTTTAATACTTTTGGGTGTCTGGAATGGATTAATTGAATTTCCATTATTTCTTATGGGGAAAATTAATTTGGATAACAAAAAAATCAGTTAAAGACAAGCTCTCTAGAACGGATTAATGTCGTTACTCGAGGGTCCACTGTATATGCTTGTACATGCATGTGCAGTGTGACCTAAGTGTAAGCAGAAGTAGGAAGACATACCTAAATCTTGCATGTTTATGAGACAGAAAAAAAGACACCAGCAATCCTACCATCATGTAAAACAATTGCAGGCTTCCATTTTACACTCACTTGGCAGGGAAGTTGTACCTCCCTGAGAGGTTGCTGTCTACCAACCTACTACCTAGAGTAATATACAGTAGGGCCCAGCTTTACGGCATTTCACCTTACGGCGTTCCGTTAATACGGCGATGTCAAATTATGACCAAAATTTGCTATACGGCAAGCGGTCTTTCAAATACATGCCCCACCCAGTTTGCTTACATTCTCCGTGACCACATCTATTATGTCAGGAAACTTTCCAAAATTTCAAGTGTTTGAAAGTTACTGCATATTTATATGTATACTCTGATAATTATACTTATGTGTACCTGTACCTAAATATACTTACACACTGTGCTGGTGTGCAGGTACACAGTAAAATTGCTAAGTCTCTCTCTACTCATGACGCCAATACTACGTAATAATAATCACTCTTGGGCACACTAAATGTCTTATTTTACATTAATATAGGCATTTTCATTAATCCATCTATGATATTTTCCTCAAAATTATATATGAAACCCGTTACGTAGCATATAAACATGATACATACATTCACAGAATAAAAATTATGTAAATATGAGATTTGTTTACAAAGCAGCTGTGTAGGTAGAGTCGGAAGAATTACGTTTTCTCTAGTCAAACTGGGGGATATCTGTAGAAAAATATTCTTTTCGTATGCCTTCACTCTATATATAGCAATTCACGACCCTTGTGGGTTTAGTACTTTTTATTATGATGATGATGATGATAATAATAATAATAATAATAATAATAATAATAATAATAATAATAATAATAATAATAATACTGTAATAATAATATCTTCATTCACTCTAAAAATGGTGTGTTGCTGTTTGTTTACTCTGTACTAAATTGTACAACTTGTACACAATGTAAGAGTATTTGTATTGTGAGGTAATTATTATTATAATAAAAAAATATTGAGGTAAATGTTTTACAAACTCTTACAAACGTACGTGAATGAACTAAAAGTAGACACACATTAATACACATTTATTTCGCCTGACCAAGTGATCACCCACTACCTGTTCAGTTTGTGTTCTTACATTGTCTCAACTCTGTATCTCGTTCTCTCTTTCGTTTACTCTTTCATTAATTAGTTGGCTCTCATTGACGATGGCGTCTAAGCTTAGCTGTGATAAAAAGAGGAGTCGTAAGCCTCTTGCTTTAAGTGACAAGTTAGAGGATGATGGTGTGCCATTCTGATTTTATTCAATAAACACTCTGCCACTCACCTCTCACATATTAATATTAATATTTTAAGGCAAGTAATAAGTGTACTCTGTGTGTATCTTACCTTTTATTGTGTTTTTAATACCTATTTCTATTGCTAACTTAATTTAAGTTAGTGTAAACTTGTTGTCTGTCATTTATTGCATATTTTATATGTGCTCTGAAAATAATACTTGTGGACCTGTGTGGTAGCCGGCCAGAGGAACATCATTACGTTTTCTCTGTTAAGTCATCAGAGAAAACGTGTGTGAATCTGCATTTGGCCCAGCCACTCCCCCACTCCGCTTTTGTTTACAATTTTCGGCATTAATTATTCATTACTTCTCCCTTCGTTTATGATGGCATCTAAAGGTAGTTGTTAGAAATTATTAAAATCAGTGAACAAGGTATGTCGATGCTAATAATATGGCTCTGGGCCACAGTGTAGGTAGCCGGTAGGTGTAGCCCAAGCAGGCTACACCTACCAGCTACACCTACCGGCTACCTACACTTACTTCCTACAAATAAATACTACTCACCTCTCTTCCTATATTAAGACTACACATATTTTAAGGTAAAAAATGAGTGTACTGTATGTGCATTTAAACTCCCTGGGATGTTTTAAATATCGTATATTAAGTATGAGACGGTGAGCCAGGGCTACCTACACCCGACTTCCTACAAATAAGTACTACTCACCTCTCTCCCTACATTAAGATAACAAATACTTTAAGATAAGTAATGAATGTACTGCGAATGTATTTTACCTTGTGTGTTTTTAATGCCTAGTTCTATTACTAACTTAATATACGTATTTTAGTGTAAACTTGTTGTCTTGCATTTATATGCATTTATTAATGGAAAAAAATGACGTTCTGCCTTCCGGTGATGATTGCTTTCCAGCGACAACCTGGAACCTAACCCGCCATATAAGTGGGGCCCTACTGTATATACAGGTGACCCTCAGTTAACGATTTTAATCTGTTCCAGAGAGCTTGTCCTTAATCGATTTTATCGTTCTTTCTTTCAACAAACCGGCCGTATCCCACCAAGGCAGGGTGGCCTAAAAAGAAAAACGAAAGTTTCTCTTTTTAATTAAGTAATTTATACAAGAGAAGAGGTTACTAGCTCCTTGACCCCGGCCTTTTAGTCGCCTCTTACAACACGCATGGCTTACGGAGGAAGAATTCTGTTCCACTTCCTCATGGAGATAAGAGGAAATAAACAAGAACAAGAACTAGAAAGAAAATAGCAGAAAACCCAGAGGGGTGTGTATATATATATGCTTGTACATGTATGTGTAGTGTGGCCTAAGTGTAAGTAGAAGTAGCAAGACGTACCTGAAATCTTGCATGTTTATGAGACAGAAAAAAGAACACCAGCAATCTTACCATCATGTAAAACAATTACAGGCTTTCGATTTACACTCACTTTACAGGGCAGTAGTACCTCCCTGAGAGGTTGCTGTCTACCAACATACTACCTAGAGTAATATATATACGGTTAACCCTCAGTTAACAATATTAATCCGTTCCAGAGAGCTTGTCCCTAATCGATTTTATCGTTATCTGGTTCAATTTTCCCCATAAGAAATAATGGAAATCCAATTAATCTGTTCCTGCTGTCAGGAGGCATCACAGAACAGTACTTCAATATGATGCTATTATCAACTCTATGGCTTATTTATCTATCACAATTCATCTAATATGACACAATAAACAATATTAATAACATAGAAACATGATATATACTGTAGAATGAATAAAATATATCATAATGTATGTAAGGAGTAAGTGGTGGTGGCAGAGGCAGGAGCAGAACCCACCACCACTGTTCACACTTTATGTACATAATATATAAATAAGAAATATTTACATTTTAATTTATAAATAAGAAATATTTACATTTTAATTTATAAATAAGAAATATTTACATTTTAATTTATAAATAAAAAATATTTACATTTTAATTTATAAATAAGAAATATTTACATTTTAATTTAAAATAAGTAAGTTTATTCAGGTATACACAAATACAGTTACGTACATAATTATCATACATAGCAGCATATGTTTAAAGTACCAAGGATAATCCAAAAAAGTCAGAGTGACTTATTTCCATTGGAGTTCATTCATATTTACACTTATAGTATTTACTTTTATACTTACACTTCTATATTTACACTTACCTTGGAGATGTTAGTTTAATTAGTTAGTTTGATGGAGGAGATGCTGGCAGAGGTTTAGGGTGGTGGAAAATAGCAGCAGGGCAGTGTATGTTCATTGGCCCTATACACATCCAACATTTGAGAGTTACTTTCATGTCGTTTTTCTATTGCTTACTAGATTAACTTACTTGCTACACTGTTAATTCTACACTTTATCACTGGCTGGCACTATAGCATTTATCGATACCTGCTGCTTTAGTATTGTACATATCGTAGAATCACTGAATCACTGCAGAAGGCACATTCTCCCCTCTCTCTTCCTCCTCCACTTTGGTACTTTGCTACGAGTTTTTCCTTGAATTTTATTGTGTTTCTTTCCTTCTTTATCACAGGGCTGGCACTAGAAACTTTCTTTGGGCTCATGGTGGCTTATTTAGCAGTTACAAGAGCTAAAAACAATGGAATAATACAATATATATCGCATGTACGTGTGGAATCACCATCACTGGCTTGTAAACAATAGCACACTACCTTGTACATGGGCTCAGGCCACGCAGACACGTTCGGGACAAATGTCCTTAACTGAGTTTTTCATCATTAGCCGAACCAATATTTTGACGCAAAAACGTATTGGTATCTGATTTTATCGCTATCCGATAGCATCGTTAACTGAGGGTCCAGTGTAATGTTAAAAAGTTAAGTAGTACTGGTCTTGGGTCTTTGCATAAAAGCAAATTTATAAAGCACACAGCAAGTCATTTGCATAAAATGGCATCACTGTACAGAAGTAAGTCTGCATAACGCAAATTGCAGTGAGGGTGAAACCAGTACTGCAGTACATTAATATGAATCTACACTTGGTAATTTAAACCATCATCTCTTAATAAATATAATATGGAAAGGAAACAAAGATGAAGTTTCAGTCCATGATGGACCATTTAGTCATAAGTGAGCAGATAATGTCACAGATGGACGAAAATGTCATCCAAAGTTTCCTTCCCAAATTGTGACAGTAATTTTTAAGCTTTTATTCTAAATTTTATAGTTTTAAGGGAACCTTTTATTTTATAGCAAAAAATCTTGCCTTTTAAACTTCCCCTCATAATACACTGTGAGCTCGTCCCAACTCTCACAATGCCAACACAATGAGTGTTCTCCGTCAAGAGCCATTCACTGTCACTTCCAGGGCCCTTGCTACTCTCTGAAGAACCAGTGTTGTGTCTCTGAAGTACACTCAAGATTTGCTGTGCTGCTTGATGGACACGCATGTATCGTGGTGGCTCAAAGATTTTTCTTCCCCTCAGCAAGTTCTCTAAACTCTGCTCCTTTACCTTAATATCTGGAATAACATATATCAAGATTAATTTTATTCAATACAACTATATTGTCAAAATACTGTACAAGGAAATTTTCAAGAGTTTAAGCAGTCATACGAGTTTCAGGGTTCCGACCCTGGAAGGGTTAAATCTCAATAATCTTAGCACTTTTAATTTCTGGGATCATGACAGTGAAAGGGATAGAGGTCACTATAATATCAAGATATGTAATAACTATGATGCCAGGAACAATATTACAATGGGACAACAGTTTCATTTTTTCCCCACAAATGAAAACAATTAACAATGATGATACAGTAGAGACATTTTATGGAAGAAAGTTTCTGAGGATACATAAGAACAGCTGAACTTTGATGAACACCAATGAAAAATGCAACATATCGTAGCAGGGCATGCACAATATACAAAAAAAATTAATGATACTTTAAAGAAAATATTCTAGTGCTATAGCTTCAACAAACCTAATAAACAGAGTGTGTGAAGTTTTTTCCGTAGATTTTTGTTAATCTTATCACAGAAGCTGACAGGTTCCCAGCCATCCTGCCAGAATGGAATAGACACAGTCTCTCCAAAGTGATACAATTGGAGCCCACAGCAGCCCACAGCATTCATAATGGAGGCATTACTCAGCACCTGAAACACAATTTCATCATTCATATACCAATTGGTTCAAGATGTTTCATCATTTTGTAAAACAGCAAGCTGTAAGCTACTGGCAAGCACTGAAGTAAAGTGTGTATGTAAATGAGTGTCTAACATGAAAGCGGCAGAATCTATTGTACAGACTTCGTAAACTCAAATGTGAAAACAAGGAAAAAATTAAACAATGTGTCACTCATTGCATAATCATAATGAGACATTCAGACACAGTCACAGGTATGAAATAACTAATGACCAAGATCCATCGAGTTTCCTTAGAGTCACTGGACTGACAGTGTCAGATTAACCAACTGATCAAATCAACACTGTCCCACATAGTGCCATGTACCCAGTTCTTTTTATTACTGAACAAATAGTGCCTTACTTCACTTGTCTGGTATGAATTAACTCCTTTTAACTTCACGAAATTCACTTAATCCACAATATTCCATTATTCTCCAAATAAAGTGATACTGAAATGTACTGAGCACAGTTCTGTTTGGTTAAGAGGAGCATACATTATTTCTTTAAAGTCTTACCTTGATAAACTCTGTTTTTTACTATTTAATACAGATCTTTATACACTTCTTGTTTACAGGCTTTGTTAACATTTGTGCAATATCAGGTGAAATATCAGGTGCTAAATAAGGTGCTCAGTCTGGTGTTAAAGTGATATCTAATTTTTACTCAACAAATTAAAAATTTTTTGCATTAATCCTTTGACTGTCAAGACCCCAAATCCTGAAGTGTGTCTCTGTTTTGCAAAATATTTGAGAAAAAAAAATGATAATCTTTTCCCGATGGTAATGACACCAACTCATCGGGTCCCGGGGACTTATTTTGCTTCAGTTTGTTTATCTGTTTAATAACCATGTCCCTTGTGACAGTAATATTAGTTAATTTAAATTCATCATGAACTAAATAATTGTTAATTACTGGAATCTCATTTACATCTTCCTGTGTAAAAACTGACAAAAAATAGTCATTAAATAAGGAACACATTTCCAATTCGTTATCCATCAGCTGTCCATTCCCAATTTTCAGAGGTTCTACTTCTTCCTTCATCTTCGTCCTATACACTTGAAAGAACCCCTTTGGATTAGTCTTTGATTCATTAGCAACTCTAATTTCATAGTCACGTTTAGTCTTTCTAATCCCCATTTTTACTTCTCTTTTAAGCTGAACATATTGGTCAGTAAGGTTAACCTCTCCTCTTCTGATGCGCCTATAAATTCCCCTTTTCTCCCCTAATAGATGCTTTAGCCTACTGTTAACCCATTTGGGATCGTTATTATTGGACCTAATTTCTCTCTGGGGAATGTATATACTCTGGGCACGGTGTACATTATTTAGAAAAAAATCATAAAAGCAGATCCCTAACATAATCATAAGTATGAGCATCGTCAATAAAATCATTAGCTGGATAACCCCAATCAAGATTAGACAGGTGTTCCCTAAGTCCAATATATATAATCGGCAGAACGGAAATCAGGGATTTTTACTGTATTATGATTATTCTTGCATTCCCAGTTAATGCTAAAAGTGATGGATTTGTGATCACTTGTGCCAAGCTCTTCAGTGATTTCCAGATTATTTACGAGTGTTTCCTTATTTGACAAGACTAGGTCTAGCAAATTATTACCCCTGGTAGGCTCTGTTACGCACTGCTTCAGAAAACAGTCCTGAACTCTTTCCATAAAGTCACTGGACTCAAGATTACCTGTCAAAGAATTCCAATCAATTTGACTAAAGTTAAAGTCCCCTACTATCACTATGTTATTGTGTCTAGAAGCCCTAACAATTTCGTCCCAAAGAAGTGTCCCTCTATCGTGATCCAAGCCAGGATGTCGGTATATTACACCAAGAATTAGCTTTTCTTGACCCTCTACAAACTCTACCCAAACAGATTCTGTTACTGCTCCATCTATTTTTATACCTGTTTTTATGCAACAATTAATATTTTCTCGAACATATAATGCAACTCCTCCCCCTTCCCATTATATCTGTCCACATGGAACAACTTAAATCCTCGAATATTACACTCAGCAATCATACCCCGACTCTTTAAATCATACCATGTTTCAGTTAATGCAATGATATCAAAGTTCCCAGCACATGCTACCAAACGTAGTTCATTAATTTTATTTCTTGCACTTCGACTGTTAGCATAAAATACCATCATATGTGTTTTCTTCTGCACATTTTTCCTATTCATCTTTGTTTTTACACAATTTCTGAAATTATCATTACCCAGAGTTGCTCCATTACAGTTACTATTAAGATTCTTAATATTAGAGCATAAGCCAATATATCCATACTCATTATTTATCATTTCTAAACCCATACCTCTAACTAATCCTAGTTTAAAGTCCTAACAACCCCCTCAACTGAGCTAGCAAGAAAACCCACACCTGCCCTGGATAAGTGAACCCCATCCCTGGCATACATGTCATTTCGGCCATAGAAGTTGTCCCAGTTGTCAATGAATGGTACTGCATTATCCTTACAGTGTTTATCCAGCCAACAATTAATACCAACTGCTCTGGACAACCATTCATTACTAACACCTCTTCTTGGTAAAATGCCACATATAACAGGGTGCCCCCCCCCCCTTCTTCCTAATTATGTCTATAGCTGTCCTGAACTTTCTAACTAAATTTATTTATTTATTTATTTATTTTTATTTATTAACAATTTGAGCACACATACAGAGGTACAAAAAAATACAGATAAGAGAAGCATGCCAAAGCCACTTATACTATGCATAGCATTACGGGCTAGCTTAAAATTAACTTAAGATTAACTAAGCAATGATGAAATCAGTGATAAAACATTAATGTAAACAGATTACTATAAAGCACAAGTGAGTATTACAAAGACAGGTCATATGGTTGCATGCATTGTTGTACATTCAGTCGTATGAAGTATTCTGTTAGGTAGTGTATTTAAAAAATAATAAAGTTAGATTCGGTTTTAGGTTTAACATTTATGTGATATAATTGTGAGAAACATTTAAGATATACAATTTATAAGATTCAGTTATTCAATATTTATTTGGTTTTGGGTGAGTAAGTGATCTTTGAGAAGAGACTTGAATTTATAAACAGGTAGTGTTTCTTTTATATTTACAGGTAATGAATTCCAGAGTTTAGGGCCTTTTATGTGCATTGAGTTTTTGCATAGTGTGAGATGGACACGAGGTACATCAAAGAGTGATCTGTGCCTTGTGTTATGGTCATGTGTTCTGTTGAGGTTGGCAAGGAGATGTTTGAGGGGAGGGTTAATGTCAGAGTTAAGTGTTCTATGTATGTAATAGGTGCAATAATAAGTATGGATGTTTTGTATGGTGAGTAGGTTGAGTGTTTTGAATATTGGTGGAGTGTGCTGCCTGTAGTGAGAATTTGTTATCATTCTAACTGCAGCCTTTTGTTGGGTAATTAGTGGTCTGAGATGGTTAACTGTTGTTGAGCCCCATGCACAAATTCCATAGGTGAGATAGGGGTAAATAAGAGAGTGATATAGGGCCAGGAGGGCTGACTGTGGAACATAGTACCGTATCTTCGATAGTATGCCTACAGTCTTGGAAATTTTCTTAGAAATTTGTTGTATATGTGTATGAAATTTGAGTCTATTATCAAGGTGGATTCCTAAGAATTTTCCCTCTGTTAGCTTTGTGATAGGTGATCCGTTTATCATTATGTTAACAGGGACATCTGTAGCTCTGTTACCAAACTGAATGAAGTAGGTTTTGTCAATGTTTAGTGTAAGTTTGTTAGTCCTCATCCAGGTATATATTTTCTGTAATTCGGTATTTACAGTATTGGCTAGCGTGACTGGGCTCGGGTGAGAGAAGACGTATGTAGTGTCATCTGCAAATAGTGTGGGTTTGAGTAATTGCGAAGCATTTGGAAGGTCATTTATGTATAAGAGAAAGAGAAGAGGGCCAAGGACACTTCCCTGTGGGACACCAACTGTAATTGGTTGCGCAGAAGAGTTTGCCCCATTTGCGTACACATATTGGCTTCTGTTGCTGAGGTATGACTTGAGGTAGTTGAGGGAGTGCCCTCTTATACCACAGTGTGACAAATTTACGTGGAGCAAGTCATGGTCAACTGTATCAAAAGCTTTACGTAAGTCAATGAAGATCCCCAGTGGGACTTCTTTTTTCTCTATTGCAGTGTATATATGTTCTAGCATGTGTATAATAGCATCATTAGTATTTTTATTAGGCCTGAATCCAAATTGGCAGGGGTTGAGTATGTTTTGGGAGATAAGGTAGGAGTAGATTCGTTTATGAATTAATTTTTCGAAGATTTTTGAGAGGGTGTAAGTTGGATATTGGCCTATAGTTATTCAACTCTGGTCTCCTCCTTTGTGGATCGGGGTGACCCTTGCTATTTTGAGTACTGTAGGGAAGGTGGAGGATTCAATGGATTTGTTAAAGAGTGTTGCAATGATTGGTGATAGCACTTGTGACACTTTTTTGTATATAAAGGGTGGTAAGGTATTTAAATCTCCTGCCTTGTTTTTTAGTGCGTTGATAATAAGGGAGACTTCGTATGGGTTAGTCGGAGCTAGGAACAGTGTGTTCGGGTAGTTGCCAGTGAGGTAGTCATTTGGTGGGGTATCTGAGCTTGGGATTTTATTGGCAAGGTTTTGTCCTATAGTGGAGAAGAAATCATTGAGTCTGTTTGCTGTTTCTGTTGGTGGGAGTTGGGGTTCATCTGATTTTGCTAATTTTATTTCGCTATTTCGTGATATCTTTTTTGTTCCCAGAATTTCTGATAGGGTTTTCCAGGTCTTTTTTATATCACCTCGTAAGTTGGATAATCTGTTCTCATAATACAATTTTTTTGCCCTTCTCATCAGGCTGGTTAGGATTGATGAGTAACGTTTTGTTTGGTCTCTGGTTATGTGACCCATTCTGTACTGTTTTTCATATTGGTGTTTTGTATTTATGGATTTGAGAATGCTGGGTGTTAGCCAGGGACTGTTCAGTCTCTTAGCTGTCATCTGTTTAGTTTTTTTAGGGCAGTGCTTGTTATAGAGGTATTGGGTCTTTTTTAGAAAATTATTTATACATTCGTCAATATCTGTATAGATTTCTAGCTCAGTGTGCCAATCAATTCTACGCTTGCCTACATCATTGCCTCCAGCACTGAGGCAAATAATAGGATTGATCCCATTACCGTTCGTGATGTTGTCAAGCCGGCTAACAATGTCCTCCATCCAAGCCCCAGGGAAGCAAACCCTCTGTCTCCAACTCCTGTCCTCCAAGCAGAATGTCCTATCCATGTATCTAACGTGGCTATCCCCAACAACAACAATATTCTTACTTTCCTTGGTGTCGTTCGTCGTGACGATCCCAGTAGTTGACTCACATTCGTCGAGTAGCACGGAGAATGCATTAGATGTTTCCACAACAGTTTCCACAGCAGTCTCTTTCTTCTTCATCGTTTCTACCTTTCCATTCGTCTTCTTGATCGTCAACTTCGTTCCATGCTGTCCAGCCACTGACCAGTTTCCCTTCTTGACCTGAGGACTCAAAACAGGAGGACTACTACGAATCTTCTTGTTTTCCTCGGTCAGTCGCCGAATCTCCATCTTCGCTACTCTCAATTCTTCCTTAAGCTGCTGGTAAAGTTGCTCGATGGAGGGCTTTTTGGTTCGCCCACGGAAGCACAGAAGTATTTCTTCCCCTTTTTTTT